CAAGTCAACAGATTAGCGCGGACCTCCAAAACTCCAGGTTCATGCAATTTATTTCTCTTCGAGTCAGGCTCCGCCGACGACGACGAAGATGACGACGCAAGCGACGACGAGGACGGCTGTGGCGCAAGCAGAGGCGCGCTCGGCGCTGGCCACCGGGTCCTCGGAGCGCACGACGCGCGTGTCCGGCGTGCACGCGACGCCGCCTGGGCGGGAGGCTGGAGGCAAGGAGACCTGGCATGGAAGAGTTGGGTGCGCCGGAGAGGGGGACCAGGAAGAGGGGGGTTCGCGCAACACGGCAACACGCATGTGTTCGGACGAGGGGGGGCCATGGAACGCATTGAAAGAAGATGAGAGGTCCATGATACCTGGAAGATGTTGTTACTGCCATGGCATCCACCTCCCCCAACTAAGGCCCACCTCCCTCTCGACGCCCCCCAAAAAAAGTCAGACCCTGAAGGACAGGATTCCTGGATCCCAGAGCTTTTCCCGCGTCAACAATCGCCTTTCGGAGTCGCCTTGCGACAGCCTCCGTGCCCGTGGAGTGCCTGGGCGCCCGAGAGGCAACCGAAAACCATCAAAAACCTCAGGACCTCGTTTCCCTGGGAACCTTTTACTCGCGGCTGATGGCGAAAAAGAGCGAGAACGCTGGGGCGCCGAGACGCCGGCAGCTGTCGAAGACCGGAGCTCCTATCCCGGCCGACTCGGTCGATGTCCCGCGAGTGTGCCGCTGTCGGCCGTCGTGTGCGAGGCACGTGCGAAGGGGGGCGGGAATTAAGTCGGGCCTGTCCCCCTACAGGGGGATCTTGGGCGAAGAATAAAAAGTATTCCAGAAATACCCAAAAGATGCCCGAAAATACTCAAAAATGGTCCCCAGGCTATTTTTTAAACTATTTTTGAAGATTCCCCCTGTAGAGGGACAGTCCCGCCTTAAGGCGGCAAGCATACCCTTACACGGCCTGGAGGGTCGAGACACATTCTAGCAGCTGGATCTCGACGAGAGCTGCAAAACGGCGGTACGAATCCCCGAGTAGGCTGCTTGCAGGCTCGGGAATCAATTCGGCAGACTGGTGACACAGGCGAGTACCACGAGGGCCGTCATCGGGCCCAGAACATCACAAATACGTTCGGTATACACTGCTGCTTCCGGGGAACGGGTCGGGTGTCTGAGGCCGCAGATTGATACAATCACACCGTCGGATGTCCATGGAGGAGAGCCCTCGAAGATCGAGGATCGAAGTGTTTGCATGCCCCTCCGCATGCCCCTTGTCGGAGCTACGCATGCACGACTCAGTACAGGTGGGGGGCGATTGATTGTTTGACAGAAAACACGAAGGGATGAGGAGAACGAGGAAGGAGTAGGAGGAGGGATGAGACGGGATGAGAAGGATAAGGGATGAGCGGCAGAAGAACGCTTTAAGTTACGTTGGGTGTTTTCATGGGGCCTTTCGAGGTTCTAAGCAAGAACGGGTATGATGAGAATGAGGAGCTCAGGCAGGGGGAAGAAAGGAGGACGACGGAGGAGGATGCAAGGCAGCGCGGAGGATAGAGATGAGGGTCTGGATGGATAGGGGGGACAGAGGAGGGCGGAGGAGGAGGAGAAGGAGAAGCAGGCGGTGGATGGATGGGATGGGGGAAGAGTGGATGGAGAAGGCTTTGGAAAGATGTGTGTAGGGCAGAGAGGGATGGAACGGGGGTGGACGGATTGGGGAAAGGCGGAGAAGTAGGAGCAGCAGCATGACAAGGAGGACGATCGTCGCTCGCGACGCGTGCCTGTTTTTCGAGCCTCGTCCAGCCGTGACGACGAAGACACCCAAAGACACCCAACAGTATCCAAACCAACCCAAGCCTCCGACATGGAGATTCTTTCCAGACGTGGCCCATGGCCCATGGAGCTCCTGATGCAAACCATGGGGACGGCTTTTTCGCCCCGAACCCTTACCTGAAGGGCCTGGGGTCTTTACACGGCCTCACCCTCTTGATCTGTTCATGACATTGGAGCTCAAGGCCTCTCCCTCGAATCGTGCTCTGGACCTGTCCCACGGTGTGCTCTGGCCTAAATTCCGAGGCGGAGCCAGAAATGGCGACGAGAAGGGAAGTTGAAAAAGGTCCCAAACGCCCACCCGCCTCGATCCTCGTCGTCGCTGGTCGGGGACGGGTTGACGCGTGTCAGAGCTGACCCGACGCAGCCATGACCGTATCCCGAGCCCGGTCCTGGTCGCATGAGCTCCCAAACCCGAGACAAGGGGGGAAGGGGGGCGGCAAGGCGGGCCGGCCCCGCGCGGCGCCCGAACCCCGGCGCGAACGGGGCTCGGCGGGGACTGGCGACTGACTGGCCCCGGCTGGCGCTGAGCCCCATTGTTGCCCGTGCCTCGCCCCCGCCGCCGCCGCCGCCTCCCGCGCCAGCCCCCCGAGGCTGCCGCGCTCCGCCGGCCGGCCGGCCGGGCCCACCCGCCAGCGGCGCGGCGGCAGGGCCGCCGTCGCCGGCGGCCGCCATCGCGAGCGCGCGCGCGCGCGGGCGGCGGGCGGCGGCGGGGCCGCCGACGGCGCCGAGCCGCCGCGGGCGGCGGCGGCCGCGAGCCTGTGGGCCTCGCGACGGCGCGGCATTTGGCGATGCCGGCGCCTGCTTTCGAGGACCGCCTCCCAGGGCCCGCTGCCCGGCCCCTGGGGGCCAGCAGTAGGTCGGGCCGGTCCTCCTGCAGCCGGAGTTTGGACGAAGAAGGAAAAATAGCCACAGAATATCAAAAAAGTTGTCAAAGATCGCAGCAAAATCGTCCCTCGACTAAATATTTCTGTACTATTTTTGAGTGTTCCTCATCTGGAGGAACAGGCCCGACGTAAGGCCAGCAGAGACGGATCCGGGGCGAGAAACTGAGACGACGCCAGGACGAGGACAAGATCGGCGAGGACGAGAAACTGAGGCGACGCCAGGACAAGGATAGTATCGATGAGGACAAATCAAGGATCTCTGAGATCGGGCGGCTCTGAATGATGTCTCAGGCGCCGCGGCCTTCTCAGAGCGTTCCCGAACGCTCTGAGAAACTTCCGGAACGCTCTGGAACGGACTTATCCTAGGGCTCCCAACTTCGCGCTTCGCGCTCCGCGAAGCGCTCTCGCGCCGCCCCCCCAAAGGGAGAAGAGGAGGACGAGGAGGAGGGGGAGGAGGAATGAGGCCCGCGAAGCGCGAAGCGCGAATGACTTCGCGCCCTCGTGGGAGCCCTTGCTTATCATCGTCCCAGCCACATCCGAGGAACTGCCACAAGGGAAGGGGTCGGGACCTCCAGGGCCGCGGGTGGAACAAAATCACATCGCCCGACGTCTGTGGCGGGGAGAACGGTCACTCCAGGCAGCCGACGTCGCGATTGTTTCACAACGTGGGGTCTGGGCCCCATCCCAAGGACCTGCTTTACATCCTGGGTCCTGGATCGTTTTCTCACCGTCCCAGCGCCAGGCAAAAGGCCAAACGAAGTCCGAAGATGGCCAAAACTCGTCCGTAGTGCTTTGTTCACGACGGGAGTGATGAAAGAACTACACACGCTCAAACCCCCATGGAGGAAGACCAGGGGAGGCCAAGGCGGTGAACGCGTTATGAGTATGGGTGCGAACTGTCGCAGCCTGGGAATGATCCCGTTCGAGCGGACACCCCGACCCAACATCTCGCACTTCTGGGCCAAGGCGAAACCCCGGCCCCGAGATTAGCAGGATCGAGCGGTCCTGATGGCATATAAGCTGGATGGCCAGTTCAACGCTCGAGCGCGAGGACGCCGGGGGACGTCGACGCAGTCGTGGGCGCCGACGACGTCGTCGTGGAGGACGCCGAAAGTGCGCGCCACGGTGGACAGCGGCCCGATGGGCCAGGCGGAGGCCGGCGGCCAGGAAGGCCGGGCAGGGTGCAGGCAGACAGGCAGGGTGCAGCGCAGGTGGACAGGAATTCGGCGGGCACTCAGTAGCATGTGGCAAACATTCGGAACGCAGGAGAGGGGCCCAACGGGGCCACGAGAGGCCCACAACCCGACAATCCGCGCGCAATCGTGGCCTTCGAAGAGCAAGTAAAATGAGGTACAACACAAACAAACTGCAGATACGTTCCCTCGCGGAGGCCCGCGCGGATTTCTCGGCTCGGCGCTGGATCCCCAGCCCTGGCGCGTGGAGCGCGCCAGGGGCAGCGACGAAGGCGGCGCCGGGGAGGGGCCCCTGCGCCGATGCAAGAACTCCGCGCGGACCTCCGAGCAGCCTCCCCAAACAGCGCTCGCTCTCCACTCGACCTCAGACGTGCCTTGATTCGGCGGTGGACAAACCTCCCTTTAGTAAGCCTCCCCTTAATAAAAAAACGGCCTGGGACCGACACCGACGGACCTGGACCCGCAAACGTGACGGCCGCGACGCCCTCTCGCGAACCGACAACGGCCAGTTCGCTCATCGACGCGTCAGGGTAGGAGGTCTGTCCACCCCCGATTGATAAACGACCGGATGCGCCCGCCAAGGGTCCGGCCGGATTCTCGCCCGGTGCCGGGCTGGCAGCCGGCCGCAGGCTCCCCGTGGGCGCCCGCTGCGCCGGCTGGGCGTGGGTGCCTTCCCAGGCGCCCCCGTGCGCCGGGTGGGTGCGCCGGGCGCTCGCCAGGCGCCCGGGTGGTGGCTGGGCGTGAGCGCCTCCGAGGGCGCCCCTCGCGCTGGGCAGGTCCGCCGGGCGCTCGCCGGGGGCTGCCGCCCGTTGGCCGGGCGCGGGCGCCCAGTGGGCGGCCGCACGGCTTGCACCACATGGCTTGCACTGCACGGGGTGCACCACGGAGCTTGCACTACGAAGCTCGTGCCACATAGCTTACAACAGCACAGCTCGCCCCGCACAGCTCGCACCGCACAGCTCTCACCACATAGCTTTCCCAAGGTAGCTCGCACCACGTAGCTCGCACCGCCCCGTACCTTGCACCACATAGCTTACAGCACAGACCTTTCACAAGATAGCTCGTACGACGTAACTCGCGCTGCATAGCTCGCAACGCATAGGCTGCAACACATATAGCTTGCACCACGTAGCTGACACCGCACAGCTTGGGGCCCACGCTGGGAGGCAGAATTTGCCCTCACGGGTAGGTCAGGCCCGCGCCGATCAGCGCGGGCGGCGCCGGGGGCGCTCTCAGCGCCGCGCCCGCCAATCCTGCTCCCGGCGGCCCTAGGTGCTGCCCCCGGGCCAGCGGGCCCAGCTCCGAGAAGGCAGCCCCGCCTCGGGGGGTCTTTGTCATCGTCGTCGTCGTCGTCGTCGTCGTGGTCGTGGTCGTGGTCGTCGTCATCGTCGTGGTCATGGTCGTCGTCGTCGTCGTGGTCGTGATCGTCGTCGTCGTGGTTATGGTCGTCGTCGTGGTTGTCGTCGTCGTCGGTCGTCGCAGTCGTCATTGTCGTCGCTGATCGTCGTCGTCGTCTTCGTCGTCATCGTCAGCGTGGCCGTCGGTTGCTGCTGGTGTCGTCGCGGTCGTGGATCTCGTCGTAATCACTGTCGTCGTGGTGGTCGCTGTTGACGTGGCCATGGTCGTGGCCGTCGTGGAGGCCGTCGTAGTCGTCGACGCGGCAGTCACGGGGATGATGGTCGTCGTGATCGTCCTCGTCGTCGTAGTCATCGCGATGATGCAATGCGCCCTCACGTCCAAAGTCCCCTCCTCGCAAGCCCGTGCAAACAGTCAGGCCCCATGGGCCTGTCATCCGGGCGATGGCCCCGTTAGGAAAGAAACTGCCCTGCATCCTTCTACTTCTACTGAGTAGGAAGAGGTAGGATTAGACAGATCAAGGAGATGCCCGACGAGAACCCCGTCGAAAAGGAGCCTGCACTCCATCCGTGTCCTTAAGCTTCTTGCCGCGCAATCTGAACCTGTCTCGAGCGAGAGCCCCATTCTGAAAGGGTTCCGCCCCTCCATCCTTCGATTGCATTACATCTGCCAGTGTGGACCCAAAAAAATGAGTTACTGCACGGTGGATGAGCAAGGTACGTGGTGCAACATATGCGGTGTCAGGTATGTGATGCAACGGGCACGATGCAAGCTACATGTTTCAAGCTATGCGGTGAGATCTGTACTGTGTCAGCTAGGTAGTGCAAACTGATGATAGAAGCGATGTGGCAAGCTGTGCTGTGTACGCTGTGCTGGGCTAAGTATGCAGAGTCAGCTTTGCAGTGTCGGGTACGTGGTGACAGTTACTCCAGATTTCGTAATAGAAGGGAGGGATCTGGACCCTCCAAGACAAGCCATTTCAGACCCCCCCCCCGTGGGAGAACCCTCCAAAACATCGTCCCCAGACCCCCCCAGGCCCTCCAAGATAGCTTGGAAGAGACCCCCCCTCGAAATGAGACCCCCCTCCCTTTATTACGAAATCTGGAGTAGGTGGTAAAAGCAGCGTTGGGCAAGCCACGCTGGTGCAAACTGTGTGGCGCAGGCTATGCGGCCGCCCTCGGGGCGCCCACGCGGCGGTCACGGGGCGCCGCCCAAGCACGACCCCGACGGACCCGCCCCACGCACGGAGCGCGCGCGAGGCGCCTGCGAACCGCGACCGAGTGGGCACCAGGCAAAGCCCCGACGGACGCCATCAAATCAATGATCAAAGCAAGCGAGAGGCCCCAAGCGCAAGCACTGCCCGATGCTCCGTCTCCTCCCTCTAGAGGAGCTAAAGAAACAAGAAACCTGAGAGAAAACGGTCGGAGGTCCGCGCGAATCGATTGGATCGGCGATGAACTCCTTTGGTGGCACCTCCGGCGCGGCCCCTGGGGCGCTCCGCGCGTAAAGGAGAGATGCAAGAAATACGCGCGGATTTCCGCAAGTTGATGTCTAGTACATGTTGTTGTTTATTATTGTTACTATTATTATCATTCGTACACCTCTTCCCACTACTCGTCGATGTCAAGTGCTCGTGACACCTCCTCATCATCTGCTTGCCTCTACGTTCCACGTGTACCTACAGCAGCCCTCGTCCTCGTCCTCGTCGTGGCCGTCGTCGTCCTCCTCCTGCTCCTCTTACGACCTCGTCCTGCACCACCGTCTTGCAATTAACAATGGGATTCTGGAGGAAAACTGACCTGGATACCCCATGCGCTCTCGCGAATCGGCAACTTAGCCCAGATGCTTCGCTCATTTTCCATCCTCGGAAGACCCTTTCCCGTCGCAGCCCCATCCGCGTCGAATCCGTGTCGACTCCATGTCGAACTCGTCAGATCCGTGCCGAATCCGCGTCGAATCCGCGCCGATTCCACGCCAAATCCGCGTCGAGTCCGCACCGAGCCCGCGTTGGGCACGAGAAACGACACCCGCTCGGGGTGGCAGGCGAGGCCCCCCGAAGGCGCCACGCTACTTTTTTTTTCCGTGACGGCCTCGGGGCCCTCGAGGCCCAAAACCTGTTGCAGCCGCGGGAACAACGCAGGAAGCGGCCCCCTCCCGATGCACCGCAGATCCGCAGGAGGCTTCCCCGTCGGGCACGACCCCTGTGATTCGACAGGCGCGCTCCACTGCTCGCAGAGTAGCTGCTCGCCAACGGCCTGGACCCGCCGAGGGGTCTACGATCCATTACACAGAGGAAGACATGTTTTTTCCCCGACGTTTGCGAGTAGGCACTCTGCGGATGGTGGAACGCGCTCGGTGACCGCCGGGCACGGCCCCTGTGAGGGGTGCATCGAAACAGGCGCAAAGGGCACGTGCGAACCCTTCCTCTGGCCCGGGCTGGCGAGGCGCGACCATCTTCGCGCCGCGCCGCGAGACCCTGGAAGACGCCAGTAGGGGGCCACATGCGAACCCTACCCCTACCCGCGACGATTTCTGAGGGGGAGGGAGGGGTTCACTTTGCTCGGGAGCTCCCGAACGAAGTGAACCCCACCCCCCCCTCAGAAATCGTGGGGGGTAGGGGTAGGGTTCGCATGTGGCCCCCTGCCCAGGCAGCACAAGCACGCGGCTTTTGGAGGTCCGCGCGTTTTCCCTGAGCCAGCGCTGGACCTCCCAAAACCCCCCTCCACACACGCGGAGCGCGCCACGGGCGACGTATGGGAGGGGAGGGGGGGAACACGACAGGACAGGCGCCGATGTGCGCCCCGGGGGGCGGCCCCCTGAGAGCTCGACGGGGGCGCCGGAGCGCCGAAACTCACACGTCGCAGCACATGGTTACTTTACGATCTCGAGTGTGTACTATTGGGGTCTCCGGCCGCCCCAGGCCCCGCCCGCCTGTGCGCTGTCTCCCCAAGCAGAGCTGTGCGCAGCCCGCCTAGCTTTTAGCGGAAGAGGTTCGCTCTCGCCCCGCCGACCAAAAAAAAAATTGTACTAATGGGAAAGGGGGGGCGGGCGCGCCGACCCAAGGGACAAAAAAAAAAAGAAAACAAAAAAAAAAACAAAAAAAAAAAAAAAAAAAAAAAAAAAAAAAAAAAAAAAAAAAACACAAACAAAAAAAAAACGCGCGGGCTTCCGAACACATGACACCGCACGCCTCTCCCGTGCTGGCCTTCCGGCGCCCCCAAGTCGGAGGAGGGCCCAACGAGACGACACCGGCTCTCCCACCGGGCCAGCATGCGCTCACAACCGGTCCCCGGACCCCTCCCCGGGTCCGAAGCGCACCCAGCCAGGGCGACGAGAAGCACCCAGGAGGCCCCAAAAGGGCACACTGCCGTTGTCTCGACTGGCCCCCGAGGCATTCGACGATGTTCAGTCCGCGCCCCAGAAATCTCGACCACTTCCTTTGGGGGCACTGCTCCGTCTTGGGTCCGCTTGATAGTCAACGGGCTGACATCGGAGATGCGGAGCGATCCTCCGATCCCATCTGCTCGGACCTCATCTGGGAGGCCTAGAGTCCGGGCCCCAAAACCGTGCGGTGACGGACCGCGTGGCGACTGTGGAATCCCCAACGACCTCACTGCGCGGTCCGTCACCGCCCGGTTTTGGGACTTTGGAGGCCCCAGTCGCCCGAGACATCGCCGGAGAACGGCCCGAGTTCCAAAACCGTGCGGCGACCCCAAATCCCCGCAGACTAACCCCGAGGAGTGGTCACCACACCGTGTGGAGGCCCAAGCGTCCATTCCCCGTGCATTGTTCGGCTTCGTGCGTGCATTGTTTCGCAAGATGACCCAAAAGGCTCCCCGATGGCCCTCGCCGAAGAAGAAACGCACACGTCTGAACGATGCCAAGTCCTGCTCCCCCGAGCGCCGGGGGCGGCCTTCGGCCACAAGCGGGGCGCCTAAGCCCTGCGGGCCGCGGACGTTCACGAAGTGGATGCCGCGGCCGTGAAAGTCCCGCAGCAGGCCGTGCAGGTCGTCGAGGTCGAGCTCGTAGGCGCGGGCGTGCGCGATTCCCGCCTTGGGCGCGAATTACTGCGGGGCGGTAAAAGGGGGGGGGGCAGCGAGGGCTGCAGCAGAGGTGCCCTACCCCCGCCGCCCACCGAGCCGCCTGCATCGTTGATCGGAGAGGGTGGGGTGCGGATTGCGCCGCCGACGCCTGGCACATCACGTGGGGTATGGCGACTCCAATCCCAGACGTTGCGTGGGTCTATCAAGTGGACCGCGAACAGAAGGCCAAACTCAGGAATATACGGAGGGAGGGATCCATTCTCGATGGTGCGTCCGAATAGCCCCCAAGGGGTGCATCCCCGAGCTTCCCGCCCTTTCTGAGCGGCGAGATTTTGCGGGCGGAGCTCGGGGATTGGGGCCGATATATCGCCTGCGAGCACATCCGCTGTATCGGGCCCCGGGGCCATCAAAAGCAGACCCGGAACGAAACGCTACCCCCTGCAAAGGGGTCGGGGCTTCTGGGGCCGCAGGCTGGGGTTGGACGTCTGGGTGTGCGCACACATAGCTCCCCGAGGCAGTCTTGGAGGCCCCAAAACCGCGCGGTGACGGACCGCGTGGTGACCGCGGAATCCCCAACGACCTCGCGGCACGGTCCGTCACCGCCCGGTTTAGGACCCTGGAGGCCGATGCATCGGAGATGCGGCGCGATCCTCCGATCCCGCCTGCCTGGACCCCCATCTGGGAGGCCTAGAGTCCGGGCCCCAAAACCGTGCGGTGACGGACCGCGTGGCGACTGCGGAATCCCCAACGACCTCACCGCGCGGTCCGTCACCGCCCAGTTTTGGGACTTTGGAGGCCCCAATCGCCCGAGACATCGCCGGAGAACGGCCCGAGTCCCAAAACCGTGCGGCGACCCCAAATCCCCGCAGACTAACCCCGAGGAGTGGTCACCACACCGTGTGGAGGCCCGAGCGTCCATTCCCCGTGCATTGTTCGGCTTCGTGCGTGCATTGTTTCGCAAGATGACCCAAAAGGCTCCCCGATGGCCCTCGTCGAAGAAACGCACACGTCTGAACGATGCCAAGTCCTGCTCCCCCGAGCGCCGGGGGCGGCCTTCGGCCACAAGCGGGGCGCCTAAGCCCTGCGGGCCGCGGACGTTCACGAAGTGGATGCCGCGGCCGCGTGGTGACGGACCACGTGGTGACTGCGGAATCCCCAATGACCTCACCGCGCGGTCCGTCACCGCCCGGTTTTGGGACTTTGGAGGCCCCAGTCGCCCGAGACATCGCCGGAGAACGGCCCGAGTCCCAAAACCGTGCGGCGACCCCAAATCCCCACAGACTAACCCCGAGGACTGGTCACCACACCGTGTGGAGGCCCCCGATCAGCCCGCCATCGCTTGGACGTCCATGCCGCGTGCATCTCTCGGCCTCGCGCGTGCTTTTGCTCGCCGGCTCCTTCTGTCTTCCCCTCTTTGCTCATTCGAGCTTCGCGCGGCCCGCTTGGCTTCGACCGGAAGAGGTGCGCTCTCGACCCGCGAATCCAAAAAAATTGAGGGATGAAAAAACGACCCTACCCTGGGTTACAAGTGCGTGGTCTGCAAACCTCCTGGGAACCCCCAAAGCCTAGAGCCGCCAGGACGCGGCACATCACGCAGGGTTTACCCTGTCAGCCCACAGGAGTTTCAGCGCACAGCGCCTCGTAAACCAGGGTAGGGGCGTTTTTTCTGCCCTTGAAAAAATTGCTTCTGCTCGCCAGATGGCCCTCGCCGAAGAAAAGCGCACACGTCCGAAGGATGCCAAGTCCTGCGGCCTTCGGCCACGAGCGGGGCGCCCAGGCCACGAGCGGGGCCGCGGGCCGCCCCGCGGCCCGCGGCCTCCGCACCGCTGGGGGGGGGCCGTCGGGCCCCAACGGGCCTCCGAAGCCAGCCCGGGGGCAGCCTCGACGCACGGCTGGCCATCGCTCGGACGTCCATTCCCCGTGTTTTTGTTCGGTGTCGTGCGTGGCTGTTTCGCCAAATGATCAAGGATGCTCCCCGATGGTCCTGGCCGAAGGAAACATGCACACGTCCGAGCGATGCCAAGGACGGGCGCCGCCTCCCGCAGCGCCCCTGCCGGCGCCCCCCGCGCCTCGGGGGCGGGGTGCCGAGAAAGCACACGGCAGGTTCGTGTCGTGTCGACCTCGGCGGTGGTCTCGGACACCGTGGGGATCGTTCCATGTTGAACTGCCGGCCGATTCCGCAAAGTCGGATCGTGCAACAACGAGCGAACCTGGGTCGCCAGCGGCGTTCCAAGTTGAACGCCAGCGGCGGGGTCGCCGCCGGTCGACACGACGCGAACCTTAGGACTGCTCGGGGAGCCTGTTGAGGCCAGCTGGGGCTACTTTTTGGAGGCTGTCTGTGGTGCGCAGCCCCTAGCCTTACCCCCTGAGTCCAGCAATCGGAGCCATCGGAGCCCTCGACCTGCCGTCGAGCGCCGCGGACAAAATGCAGCAGGGTGAACAAGAATCATGGCCGGAGCCCTGGACCCCACACTTCTGGCGCTGAAGGTTCCTGCCCCCAGTATTCGAGCATCATGTGAAGGTTTCTAGTTGCATGCACAGTTTAGCGCAGGCGGGACGGGCGGGATTGCAGCAGCGCTTCCCCACCTCCGCAGCCATTTGCCTCAGAGGCCCCACAGATGGCCGTGCAAGCAGCACGCATTCTGCAGTGTACACGCGCTGAGTCCAGGACAAAGATCATTTTTTGGGACATGTCTCGTTCCGAATCGATCTGTGAAGGTGCCAAGGCCTGACAACGGGCATTTTCGCCCAGTTTCAAAACATTGTGACGCCCGGGTCTCATCAAAGTCGTGGTTTGAAGGGCCTCGAGGCGCTCTGGGGGGCTCTGGGGCAACTCGGGGGGCCTCGGAGGAGCGGCCTGCCATCGTGCCCGCTGGCAGGAGCAGTCAGCATCGAATCGGGAAACCAGATCGCATCGGAATGTGCATGGATTGAGTCGGGCCGCATCGGCACCGAGTCGGAATCTGATCGGACCGGCCGCACAAAGATGCCCAACAACGACTTGCAAGCATCGGGGCGTATCGAATCGTCGAAACATCGGGACGGCCAAAATCCGCATCACTCACATTTTGGGTCACAGCTCGGGTCTCCGGCTGACCTCCGGGGCGACCGGGGCAGCCCTTGAACGCTCTCGGCGAGTCGCAGCTGCTGGAACGCGCGCCGAGGCCCGAAGAATCTCCAGGAGCCGGCGAGCACGTCCGAGGACCACCGCGCGCAGGCTCGAGCGCCAACGCCCGCCTCCTCCAGCACCGACATCACCAGGTCGGGGAAGGGCCCCGGCGCGGGCGCCTCGCCCGCCAGCGAGCACCAGATCTTGTAGTTCTGCTCCAGCATGCTGGTGGTCGACAGCTTCCGGAACTGCTTGCGCAGGGTCCTGCTCACGAGCGGCCAACACGCATCCACACCCGCGCCCTCGCGGCCTGGCTTCCCCGGGGCGCGATCCCGCGGATGCGCGGTCCCACGGATGGGTTCCGCGCGGGGCACCCGCGAGAAGACGCCCCCGCATCCGCGGGGCCTGGCCCGCGAGGCCGCGGGCACGGCATGCTCCGGTCGCCCGTGGCCTGCGGCGCTTCGAGAAGATCAGCTTCACGAAGGCGTCCCACTCCGCGAAGTCCACCCCGGGCGCCGGCACGCGCGGCTCCAGCTTGATCACGGTGGAGTCGACGCGGGGCCTGGGCACGAAGCTGCCGCTCTTGACGTCGAAGAGGCGCACGGCCCGCGCGAAGAGGCGGACGCCCAGCGAGAGCCGGGAGAAGCTTTTCTCCCCCGGATCGGCCAGGAGGCGCTCCGCGAACTCGCGCTGCAGCATCAGCACCGCGGACCGCCAGGCGGGACCCTCGGAGATCCGCTTCAGGATCCTGCTGTGCGCCGCACCACACACAGTAGATGCCCGGGCCAGGGCCATCCTCTGGCACAGTGTGCACACGCCATCCTGGCCGAGGCCAGGAGGCCTGTGGTTGCATCACCCTGTGAGGCGTAGGGATGGCCCTGCCCAGGCACGGTGGTGGTGCATACGCCTTCCGAGAACCTGAACAGGAACGGGGACGAGATCTGGTACGGCAGGTTCGCCACGCACACGTCGAACCGCGCCGGCATGGGGACGCGTAGGGCGTCGCCAGTGGAGGTCCGGAGGTTCGCGAAGCCACACGCCTCGGCACGCTGGGCCGTCTCCTGAACCATGCGCTCCTCTATGTCCACAGTGTGCACCTCGCGCGCCAAGGGCAAGAGCCGCATGGTAAGCTCCCCCGTGCCGCAGCCGACCTCGTACACCGCGTCGGGCGAGCGGATGTCCGCGGCCTCGACCATCTTCTCCACCACGCCCCTGTTGTGGATGAGGTGCTGGCCCTTGTTCCTAGACAACGGCAAGCCAGTGGCAGGGTGCACCTCTGGCGTGAGGGGCCAAAGAAAGGTCATGGGGGAAACGTGTCCTGGAGAACACCCCAGGATGAGTATTGTTTAACCGATCCCCATCCCCAGCGGCGTGGCATGGGCCCCACTGGCCGAGTTACCCCCCTAGATGGGGATATAGGTCGTTCCCTTCGGGTTTCGAGGCGTGATCCCCAACGGTGGTGGTAATTTGGGGGGGGTCTCGAAGGGGATAGGGATGGGGATGGGGATTGGTTAAACGATACTGACAGGATCAAGTCTGCGTCCCGACAAAGTGCTTGGCAGTCTCTGGGCCTGGGAGCGGCCCTGGGAGGCAGGAAGCAGCGAAAAACCTCCCGGCCCCTTCGCTACAAGATCCTCTTCTTCGCGGCGGTCCTGAAAGATTGTTCCATATGGGGTGCGCCCTGGCCAGTTCGACGGGAACCCAGCCGTCGCAGTTAGAATCCTCCGGAGGCAAACAGTGGTCAAAAAACATCCACGAGCCGCGAAACCGGATCCTCGAACCCCGAGTTCCTCCTGCTTTAACGGGCGAAGAACGGTATGAAATAAACTTTTTCGCCGTCGGGGGCACCTGCCCCAGGGCGGCTGAAAAGTTTATACCCTTACGGTGGCACCGTAGGGGTATAAACTTTCCAGCCGCCCAGGGGCAGGTGTCCCCGACGGCGAAAAAGTTTATGCCATACCGTTCTTCGCTCGCTGACTGCCGGCGAGGACCTTCGGCACCCGTATGGAGTTCCTCTGCGCAGCAGGTGGCTACGTTCCATCACCGTGCCCGTTGGCGGCGCACACGAGGGGGTGGAGGGAGGGGGGAGGGCTCCTTAGAAGCAGGGGTGCGTTTAAGAAGCCCTCCCCTCTCCCCCACCCCCCTCTGCGCGTGGCGGAGTGCCTGGCCAAGGCCATCCTTGGCCCTGGCACCGTGCGCAAACTAGCCTGGCCTCGACCGGCCAGGCGTGCACAGCGCCAGGGCCCCGGGTGGTCCTCTTCAGGCACGGTGGTGGAACGCTGGCACCCTTCCCTGACATCCTCCGATGTGGCACTTGTCCATCCGCGTCTCCAACGTTCCCGGCCCCCCCCCCCCGGGCGGAGCGTGGCGTCCCAGGTGAACTGTTGCTGGCCCCCCGAGCTCGACACGCCCGCGGTGCCGGCACGAAGGGACAGCTCGGAGGGCCCACGGAGAGCACACGGCGGCCCCCCCGCCCGGCCCAAGCCCGCTCCAAATCGGCCCCTCTCACCCCTCCCCGTGCACCTCCTGACGAATTGCTCGACGCGGGCCCAGCCGTGGTGGTGAGGACCTCCCCGAGGCCGATAACAAGAGCATGGAAAACGCAACTCGGGAGGGCCGGCGCCGCCTCGACTGGCCCTCGTCGAACTGGGGCCGACTCCGGCATCCCAAGAACGCTCGTGACGAGGCGCGACCGATGGGAACCGTCTCGGGCCCGGAAAACCGCCGCAAGGCGCCGCGATGAATGGCCCCCTTGGGATGTATCCCAGGGCCTCCCTCCTTTCCTGAGAGGCTTCATTTTTCGTCGAGAAGTCGGTGGGCGGGGGGGGGAACAATCGCCTGCGAACGATGAGAAGAGCCACATCGTTGGAAATCGGGGCCTCGGCGCGTCCTCCGCAGCGGCAGCGCTGCGCGCGAGGCCCGGCACGAGGCCCTCACGGGCGCCGCCGCCGGCGCCATCGCGGCGGCGCCCCCCGGGGGGGGGGGGGGGCACCCCCGGCGGCCCCAAGGGGGCGGCACCGCCCGAGGACGTCCTGCGGGCTCCTCGGCGCCGTGCGCGGGATGGCTGCTGTGGGAAGCCGCCTCGGGCCCAGACCTCCAACGATCGTCGTATGTTTCGAGTAGGGCATCGACTTCAGAATTGGCTCGCCCCAGAACTGATTTCCACGTCGAACCTGCGCGAAGACTACGGAGAAGAGCCTGCAGATCTGCGGAGCAGTGTGGGGTGTGCTTCGCAGATCCGGCGGAACATCAATTCTGGGGTGCATCGATCCTCTTGTCCGCATGTGATTGAATGTGTGAAGCCCGCATGTGCTCGATCGTACGGTCACGACGATCCAATGTTCCGCATCGCAAGAGCTTGCAGAAAGTGGACCGGCCAAGCTTCTGCATGTCCCAGTCGGGAAAGCGCAAACATGGATTAGCGATCCATGGATCTGGTACGCGGTCGCCAAATCCATGGATCCGGGGAGGTGCCCTCCCCAAAATGCGGACGGTGCCGCCTCGTTCGGCGGCGGAAATCCGCGATTTCCCATGGAAACAGGACCCGTCGCTAATACACGCCCCCTTGATCCATGTTTGCGATCGCCTGACAATGTTCCGCATCACCTCCCCCTGCCCTGCGCCAGGCCACGTGAGGAAAGTGTCGAGCGCCCCTTGGGATGGATTCGTCTTCGATTGGAAGCTTGCTGCTGAAGGCTTCCCGTGGTCTCTTGGCAAATTACTGGGGATCTCTGGGGGGCCTTTTGCGGGCCTTTGGGGGCCTCTCTGGAGCTGTTCTGATCTAGAAAATTTGAACACGGCGAATGTAAAAAGGCGTTCCGCGCGGACCCGAAGAAAACAAGTACCTCTCCCCACCCCAAACAAGAAGACTTCCCCCCAGTATGGCCGCAGCAATTGCATGTCTCGCACAGAAACTCATATCTAGACTCCGAGGTTGTCCGCGCGGATCCGAGACATTGTTACCCCTCGGTCTACTCCGCCTTCCCGTCCCCCATGTACCCCTCCTGTTCCTCCTCCGACGACGACGACGAGCCGCCTCCTCCACGCCCTCATGCTCCTCGCGCATTGGATCGCTGATGTCGCAGGACGCGCCCACTGGAAGGCCGCGCACCTGCGCGCGTGCACGCGCAGGGACGCTACGCGCGGAGGGGGGTGCGGGCATGCGTGCTCGCTCGCGTGCCTGCGCGCTCGCGCGCGAGGCCGCGCGAGCGCGGGCGCGCGCGCGCGCGCGAGTGCGTGGGCGCGTGCGTGCACGCGCGGGAGGAGGGGGAGGAGGAGGAGGAGGAGGAGAGGAGGAGGAGGAGGAGGGGAGGAGGAGGAGGAGGAGGAAGAGGAGGAGGAGGAGGAGGAGGAGGAGGGGAGGAGGAGGAGGGCGGCGGAGGCGGCTGGCGCCCGCGGCGGCGCGGAGCCGGGCGCCGGGCACGGCGGCGCGCGCCGGGGCGTCGCCGGCGCGAGCGCCTCCCGACGCGCGTCGCGGGAGTGCTGCGCGGACGCGGCGCAGGCGCCATGTGGCGGAGCTGCGGGGGCTGTCCCTCGGCCCTGCGGGGGCCGGGCCCTGGCGCGCGCCGTGGCCCGCGAAACGCGTGAGGGGTGTGCCGAAATGTGCGTGCGGGACATGCGGGCACATAGGGCGACGAGATCTATGCATATCCACTGCTCCTGGCCAGGCACATCCTGGGCCCAGGAGCTGTGTATATGCCTCCCTGGCCAAGCCAGGAGGGCGTATACACCGCTCCTGGGCCCAGGATTGGCCTGGCCAGGAGCAGTGGATATGCATAGATCTCGTCGCCCTAGCACACCCACCACTGGGACCTTCGGCGGGGCTCCTATGAGGCCACGAAGCGCGTGAGGGGTGTGCCGAAGTGTGCGTGCGGGACGGCCGGGCCCGCCCCGCGCGCGGCCGGGCGGGCGAGGCCCCGCAGCGGCCGGAAGGCGAGCTGACGGCGCTCGGGGCCTCGGCGCCCCGCCCGAGCGGCCGCGGGGGCGCCTGGCCGGCCTGCAGTGCCGTTTTTGATACATGCTCCGCGTGCGGACCATGTGTGGAAAATGCAGGGACTGAGTGTGAAAAACAACGATGAGCTCACGCATAAGTTCATTCATACATTAATCCTGCATGAAAAATCCTACGTTTCAAAACATCCTGTGCATGAAAACCTGCCCTGTGCGCGAAGGCCCGTCGGCTGGAAGCGCCCGGTGGCCGAGCGCTCCTGGGCTGCGCCGGCGCTGCGGCCGCGGAGGGGCGCGGCGCGCGGCCGCCCCTCCGCCGCGGCTCGGGCCCCTGAGGGCCCCAGCGCGCGCCCGGCGCGCGCTCCCCGTCCGCCCTCCGTTGGCCCCCCCCCCCCCCCGCGAGAAGCCGAGCGCCTCGGGCCATCCGCCCCCCGAGGCCGCCAGCAGGCCCCCGAGAAACCCCAGGAGGCCTCAAGAGGCCCAAATCCAGGCCCCAAGAAGCCGGGGCGCCCCAAGACACCCCACGAACGCCTCGGAGAGGCCTCCGAGAGGCCTCCCATGAGCGACCCCCGTAGGCATCCAAAGGTCCTCGGACCTACAAACCAGGCGCGGTGGCGGGGTGAACCGAAGACAGCTAGACATATCTGAATGCGTCCACGGGACGGTGGATATGGCCCACATCTTCGAACCCCCTGGGGCCCAGGTGCATCCATATCGTATGGATGCGTTTCGGCCCCAGGGGGCCTGACTGTATCCGCCACCGTGCCTCCTGGCACATCAAGGCGTGCAAAAATGCCAAGCACTGTCTTGCAGGGTCTTTGTAGCCTTATACGGACCCCCCAAACCTCGCACCCATCTGCGCGCACCACCCCTGCTCCTGAGGCTCCATGGGCGGCCAAAACGCCTCCCTGGCTTTCTCCAAGGCGTCGGAAACGCCCAAAATGGCATCCGCGACGGACCTGGCAGGCCACCTGAGCCACCCAACCCAGGTGGCCCAAGATGACCTCGAGACGACCCAAGCAAAGACGACCCCAAAAGGCTCTCGTCGACTCAAGACAGCCCAGAAGCCTCCAAAATGGCATCAAGACGGCCCGGGAGGGCACCAAGACGGCCCGAGAGGGCCCAAGAGGGTGTCAAGATGGCCCCAAGAGGACCCCAAGTCGGCCCAAGAATGCGCCCAGACGGCCCTTGAATGTCCCCAAGAAAGCCCCAAGACGCCCATACGGTCCAAGATCACCCTCAGACGGCCCGAGGAGCCCCCAAGAGCTCCCGAGGTGCCCCCAAGGCGCTACCACGAGGCTCCGAGAGGCCCACAAGAACCCTTCAAGGGGCCCCCCGAGCCTTCCAGGGGCCCGAAGTGTGACGTGTGACGGCCTCCCGCGCCTCCTCGAATAGCCGCCGCCTAACGTGCTGGACTGGCACGGTGGCGGGACTTGCCGCAGGCAGCTAGATACAGTCATCGTGCTCGCGTAATCAAGAATGAACACCAACTTAAGCCACGGAGAGCCTCGGCCACCAACAGGTTCCCCGACCTCTGGCTAAGGAACAGCTCGAAAAGCATAAGCCCCTCCTAAACCTAGGGCGGCCCATATTTCGGCGTCTCGACTGCAGGATTGACAGCTCCAGCCCCCCCATCCTGCGGATGCCTTCGGGCCCCCCCTTGTGGGCGTAGGCTGGTGGGGGGTACCGCCCCCCTCCCCCCCTGTGGGTGCGGGGTGGTGCTGCGGAGCCGTCGCTGTCGCCGTCGTCGCCGTCGCCGTCGCCGTCGCCGTCGCCGTCATCGTCGTCGTCGTCGTCGTCATCGTCCCCCTCGCATCTGGGGGGGGGCATGGAGCGGTGGGTTGCCCCTGAGCACTCGACCCAGGATCATACTTGCCCACGTCCACCGCCCGCCGACGTCTCCAGAGATCGACTCCATGACTACCGCGGCCGCAAAACGAAAACCCCGCGGCGGCCGCGCGCGCTTTGCTGGGCCCTGCGCCGGGCGGCGACATACCCCTGCGGGCCCCGCGCGCGCTGCGCGCGCGAGCCGCACACCGGGGCTGCTGGCTGGGCGCCCAGTGGCGCGCACGCGGGGCAGCTGCAGCGGGCCCAAGCCTCCGACGATGCAGTGTTTCCCGATCAACTGGTTCTCCGATATCGGCCTCGTGGGGCCCGCTCGCGGGGGGCGTGAAGGTGGGCATAATTAGGGGCAGAGGTGGGGTCCGAGGAGACTCGTTCTGAACGGCCCCCGGACGAGGGAGGTGTGAGCATCCCGGCGGTCTCGCTGCGTGAAGCCCCACCCTGGGAAAACACCCCCCCTCTGCGAGCCGGGGACCCGCTGGCGGGCTCCTGGGCCGTCAAGAGCGGAGCCAGGACGACAGGACTGGCCCCGGGGAGCTGGTCGAAAGCTCTGGGGCGCGGGCTGGCAGAATCTCATCGTCGGACGTCCGGGGGCGCGCCCGCGCCCGCGCGCCCGCTGCGCGGCCAGGAGGGGCGGATCGAGTAGGGAATCGACTACAGAGTTGGTTCACCCCAGGGTTGATTTCCTCGTCGAACCACTGAGGAACGACATAGAATGCTAGATAGGTCTACGGAACATTCGACGCATTCTCTGCAGATTCGACGGAAGGCCAATTTTGGGGCAAATCGATGATCTAGTCGATCCCCTAATCTAGCGCAAGAAGGCCGGTCGAGACAATGGTACGGCAGATTCGTGTCGTATCGACTTCGGCACTGGCTCCTGACACCACGGGGATCGGTCAACCTTGAACCATCGGCCGTTTCCGAGACGTCCAAATCGTTCCACATCGAACGATGCTGGGTCGCCCGCGGCGTCCCACGTGGAACGCCGCTGGCGGGGTCGCCGCCGGTCGACACGACACGACCCTGCCGTTAGCCCTGCCAGGTGTGCTTCCGTGCCAGCCTCCGCACCTCCCGTCGCCACGGCCAGAGCCGCCAGGAGACACCAAAAGTGCCCCAAGAGGCTTCCAAGAGGCGTCATCCTCCTTCTTCTCCTTACCCACTCCTCCTCCTCCTCCTCCTCCTCCTCCGCCCTCCTCCTCCGCCTCCTCCTCCTCCTCTCCTCCTCCGCCTCCTCCTCCTCCTCCTCTCCTCCTTCATCATCATCCTCCCTCCCTCCCTCCCTCCCTCCCTCCTCCTCCTCCTCCTCCTCCTCCTTCTCCTCCTCCTTCTGGTCCTCCTCCTCCTCCTCCTCGAAGAGCAGGCCAGGGTGGGCCCCGGGAAGGGTGTCCGGGGGCCGGTCCGGAGCTGAGCTGGGCCTGGCTCGGCTGGCTCTCCTCCGAGAGAAGGGGGGGGGGGCATGCAGGGTGAGCCCATGCCAAGGAACACCCTCCTCCACCATAAGCTGAAGGGGGAGGGGATCTTCCTCCTCCTCCTCCTCCTCCTCCTCCTCCTCCTCCTCATCATCATCATCATCATCATCATCATCATCATCATCATCATCATCATCATCATCATCATCATCATCATCAGCATCAGCATCATCATCATCATCATCATCATCATCATCATCATCATCATCATCATCATCATCATCCTCGTCATCCTCCTCCTACCCCCCTCTCCAACTTAAGGTGGTGGAGGTGGTGGAAAACAAGCCCATCAATGCGAGCCCATGCCAAAGAGCACCCGGCTTGCCTCCAGGGTGCCCTGGGCTTTTTTGGTCTCGACGGTTTTGCTATGGAAGGCGTGACACTCCCACAACAAAAAAACATTTACATCCTGGGGTATCAGGGTTGGGCTTCTTATGGAAGGTTTTTGGAAGTCGAGCCCCTTCTGCACGACATCCGATAAATGATGTATGATTTGTTGCCAATCCGCCGCCCCAAAAGTCCCGACCACTTCCCCCGGGATAAGTTTCGCCCCGGGTACGTTTTGTTCAGGTCCTGGGGCCCGCGGGTCCCTCGAGACCGAGCTGCAGGAAGATCACGGGGATGGAGATTACCTCAACGCGGAGAGCCCCCCAATGTGTGCATCTTGCACTTCCAGACTGAGTGCGAGTCTTAGCCTGCTCCATCGCGGTGATCATGGGCCTCGGAATGGAAAGGAGTCGGAGGTGCAAAACAAGCGCCTCGCTCGAGAAATCGTATTAATCTGCTCTGCCAAAGGAGGAGTGGGAGCCGCGAAACGAGCGCTCATTCAAGGCATCCCCACAATCTGAGCGCGAACGGGTGTCGTACACCCTGACAGCGCACCATTGGCGTGCTCAAGCGCCTCGCTCGAGATATCCTCACACTTTGCTCTGACAGCAGAGGGAACGGAGCGGCGAAATGAGCGCCTCGCTAGAGATATCCATACAATTTGGCCACCAGCGGGCAAATGTCATACCCCATGGAAGCTCCTCCAAATGCTAAAAGAAGCGCCTCGCTCGAGACATCCTCACAGCGCCTCGCTCGAGACATCCTCACAATCTGAGCGCCGAGTGCCCTACACCCTGAAGCATTCCAACAATCTGGTCTGAAAGCAAAGGAGTGCGAGAGCCTGAAAATGCGAGCGCGGAAAGGGGAGGATGGAAACGGGAGGTGAGTGAGGCGGAGGCCCCCCACGAATAATAATCACACCATATTCGAAATACCTCACCGCCTGTTTCGGAGATCTGGGACTGGCCCTCATGCGAGGGGTGGGGCGCGCGGCGCAAGGGACGGGCGTCAGCTGGCGGCCAGCGGCCCGCCCGGCGGCGCGAACAGACCTGCCGCCACCGTCATGTTCACGGGCGCCTCCTCCATGGCCTCTCGGGGGGCACAGCTGAGGTCGCAGCGGCGGTGCCTCCCCAAATCTCCGACTCTTCAAACGACTCCTGGTCGCCTGTTTCCGCATTTTCGCACTCAAATCCCACTATTGAGCCCCAGCCGCCTGGGAGACGGTGTTTAGATCCGACACCGACCCCTGCAAAGGCACAAATAAAATGTTCCGAGATACCGTCGAATTCTCGAGTTCTGCCATATTCTCCTAGGTGCTCCCAGCGTGTCCCTTCCAATAGCCAAGAGCACACTGCTCGGGACATGCATGTCCAACACGTCGCCCCAGGGACCGTCCTAAGCTCAATTGTTTCTCGTGTTTTTCGTTGTACTTCTTCTCGGTCTTCAGGGCGTCCAAAACGGCCGGAAAGGCATCCAAAATCAACCAGAAACGGCCCAAGAGCCCCCAAGAGGTACAGAAGAGGCCTCGAAAACGGCCCCAAAAGGAGCTCAAGAGGGAACACGCTGACAAATTGTGCCCTCCGCCGGAACATGGCGCAAAATCCCGCCAGAAACCCCAGAGCTGCGCCGAAAGCCCCAAAAAGCCCCCAAGACGCCCAAATCAGGTCACAAGAAGCAATACAATACAGAACAATGCGAAACAATGCCGTCGAACAGCCCAGCCAGGCCAGGCCAGGCTGCGACTAGCGAAGGAACCACGAAGGCGAACACGTCACCGCCGACTGACAGCCAAGCCTGGACCACGACGCGTCGACGAGACAACGACGGCAAGAAAGGAAGCGCCAAACTCACAACCAGGCTCAACTCTGTAGTGAAACTCCTGAAAACAAACACTGTTAAGCAAAAAAACAAACTAAAACCGAGTTTTAAAATCTGTTCAACAAAAACGAAGCCTCAACAACCAAAACCAAAACCCTGGCAAAAATGTGTCAAAAAAAAACAAAAGCAAAAAAAAAAAAAAAAAAAAAAAAAACACACACATCTATATATATATATATATATATATATATATATATATATATATATACGAGGGGAAAGGAAAAACTCGAAATCAGAACAACAACACAAAACTAACGAAAACGTGAGCAAGGCTCTGCCGCCGAACAAACAACAACAACAAAAAACAGAACTGAAGCCGCGAATCGAATTACGACCATCACTGAAGGGTTCTTTATCAAAATAGAGCAAAATATTAAGATCTATGTTGTTTATCTTTGAAGAACCTAAAACGAGGCTCTGGAAAACAGAAAACAACGCAAGAATCAACATTCCGGGAAAGTACAAATAGAAAACAAGAACAGCTCAACCGAAAACGGAACTGCAAAACCTAAAAAAACTACCTCCGCACTCGTGCTTGTAGCGTTTATGAATGTCCCTTCGGATTATGCTACCACTTGTCTACAGGGCAAGTCCAAAAAAATATTTTAATCACACGATGGGCAAAGCTGGCCGCCATTGCTGCAGGCAAAACGGGGAATAATGAAACAATGATCTCCCAAATCGCTCTCGACAATAGCAACAAACATACCTTCAAAATTTCCTGAATAATGTCCCGATCGAATATTTTCAAATCACTCACTTGTTGGGGCCCAGCAGGCCTCGGAAGTGACGACAGTTAAAGCAACCCGAATCGTATTGGACACGAATTGCAATTGAATTTTTTTCCTGAACCATTTTTTCTTCTTAACTTATAGAAAACTGTATGACTCCAATGCCGTAGCAGCGGAGCTGTTCTGGGCGAGTTCGCTCGATTTCTCAGCAACAAAAATCAAAATACGTGTTTGTTTGTTGATTGTGCAAAATGGAACGTGGATAGTTGAGAAATCATTGAATACTGATGTTGTTCCCGAACCCTCCTTGGTTGGGTATTCGTTTGGAATAAGGGACTGTGGTTTTCACCTTCCTTCCTCCCGCCTGCCTCCTCCTGTCTGGCTGCGGGGGGCTGCGATTTGCGAAACGATCGCTACTTTCGAGGTATGCTGGGGGGCGCAAGGCGCAGACCCATATTAGATTCGCCATCTCTGGGGAGCGATCTGTGACACCGTCGTCACTTTCGAGGCATGCTGGGGGGGGGCCACAACAGCGACACCGCGCGCGGGCCGATTCTACACCTCGCCATCCTTAGGGGGTGCGATCTGCGAATTGTCGCGCGTTGCCCAGCTCGACAAACCCATCAAATGCCTAAAAAACTAGGCGCGCGTTGCGCGCGCAGACTGGAGCGCATTGGCGCGTCGACATCCCGAACAAAACGTCAAGACTTCACGGCGAGCATGTCGCGCGTCGCTCTCGCGCGCCACACCGGAAACAATTCCTGTTATGTCACGCACGTTGGAACCCCATCAATTTCAAATTTCAAAAACTATCAGCAAAAAGAGAGTGCTCATTGACTGTTCTAAAATTGAATTGCTTTTTATGCAAGATCGAACCCCCAAGCAAATAGCTCGATGGATTCCTCCAAAATACAAGAAGATTCACAACCATTTCCTCCAACAGATGTTTTTTTCAAGCATGGGCAATAAAACAATCTAATCCAATGGCAGATTTGAGAGCATCGCGATCTTCTGATCGAACGCGCTGCATTCGCCTAACAATCGACCCGGTTGATTGGTTTCCATGACATCAATGAGGCATGAAACCTGAGATCCAGAACTCCTGAGACTAGACTGGCCATGTGCATGCCGGAGAAAAATGGCAAGATTACCAAAGGCATTGCTCATCGAACACACAACAAAATCCCACGCATTTAACTACGGCGCGCAATTCAAGGGCAAAGTACTTATTCACTGTAAATAATTGCCGAAACGTGAAGCCCAAACAACAAATAAAAAACCTGAGCATAAAATCGAAGAAATAACGAAATTACGTAAATACATACATATCTATATATATATATATATACATATATATATATATATATATATATATATATCGGATCTCTGCAGCAAAACATTAAAATTAAGGGGACAAGACGAGATAGATGGCAGAACGGCGGCCGCCGGAGACAGCGCCAACAAGCCGGCGGGCGGCGCCCTGCCAGAGGGGCAACGGGAAAAACGAAAAAGAAAACAAAGAGGGAGGAGGAGGGCGAGGGGGAAAAAAAGCGAAAAGCGCCGGACGCGCCCGGCGAACAGACGCCTGCGGCCCCAGCACCACTCAGAACCCGCACGGGGGAAGGGAGCCAGGGAAAACAGGAGGACGGCGGAGCGAATAAAAAAAGAGAGGGATAAACTTACTCATCGGGCTACCAAGAAAAATAATTACGAAGGCCGCGCGAAACCATCGGCACGCGCCAACTGAAAAGCTGTGGCCAAAACGACCTTATGGCAAATCGATACGAAGCAATTCGGAAATAAGGCGTTGAAACCATTTGACATTGTCAGCGGAGATGATTGAGTCTGGAAGTAGGTTGCACACTCTCGCGTCACCCAATGCGGAACGCACAAGGTGGTCCGGGGCACGGAACGAACACGGGCCACGCAAGTGACGGAAGTGGCGACGCAGGGAGCGGGGAGGAAAAAAAGGAAGAGTCAACAAAAAAAGTTCCGAAATACGGAAAGCTGAATGAGAGTACTGCGCAGTGAATAAAGCCCAACTTAGCTATATCTCTGCACGCAGGTAGGGGGGCAAAAGTAAAGTTGCGCAAAGCTTCGCGCTGAGTTATGCCCACGTCGAAGCTTCAAACAAAACAACGCTGGCACGGCCCCATTCGCGCAGACACGACTGGAACTGCCCAATAATGGCAACAATCTCCTCGTCAGAAAAGGAGAAAAAAAAGCAGAACACGGAAAGTTGATATCGTTGGCAAATACTACTTCTTGAAAATGTAATTTGGCAATTGCTTTGCTGGAAAAGCGGGCCGAACTGGGAGCCGGCGATACACCGTCAACCTCGGTCACCGCCGGGAACTAGTAGAGCTTCCTCGCGCAACGCGGGCGCGGGAATCTCGCACTGCGCGCGCGAGGGCGCGGTCTGATGGAAGAAGACGTGGAAGAGAAGAAAAAGTGAACGAAAAGTATCTCTGGAAAAAAAACTAGACATACCAGACTGAGTTTAGGCGTCTGGACACTTTGAGCTAGCGCGCCTGTTGATTTTCTTCCAATTCTTGTGCCGAACAGCGTAAAGAAAACCATCATCTCTGAAGCCGAACAGCTCTGTAACTCATCTGCAGCTCGACTTAAGTCAAGCAAACCAATACCATCTCCAAAAAAAAACACAGTACGAATAGTTGTTCAGACCGATCGCTGATAGCATACCGACTTCAGGCGACTAGATACTTTGAACTAACGCGTCTGGTAATTCCCTTCCAATTACTGTGCCGAACAGCTATGTAGCTCATCTGCAGCTCGAATTAAATAAAGAAAACCATCACCATCTCCAAAAAAAACAAAGCACAAATAGTTATTTGGCCGCAGCGCTGATAGCAGACCGAGGTGAAGCGTCTGGATAATCTCCTGATGATATCCTCCCGATTGCTGTGCCGAACAGCTCTGTAGCTCATCTGCAGCTCGAGTTAAATCAATAAAGTCATCATCATCTCTAAAAATTAGCCGAATACGAATAGTGTTTCAGCCCCAGCGCTGATAGCAGACTGATTTCAGGCATCTAGATACTTTGAACTAGCGCGTCTGATGATTGCCTTCCGATTGCTGTGCCAAAGAACTCTGGAATTCATCTGCAGCTCAAATGAAATTCAAAAACTCATTATCATATCCAAAAAAATAGAGTTCGAAAAATTTCGCGGGCCTAACTCGAGCAGCAGACCGAGTTCGAACATCTGGAACTTCAGACGAACGCGCCTGACGATTCTAGATCGAGTAGATGTGCGTGCGAGCTCGGTATGCTGGGGGGCGCAAAGCGCGGACCCATATTAGACTCGCCATCCCTGGGGAGCGATCTGTGACACCATCGTCACTTTCGAGGCCTGCTGGGGGGGGGCCAGCACAGCGACGCCGCGCGCGGACCCATTCTAGACCTCGCCATGCCTGGGGGGTGCGATCTGTGAATTGTCGCGCGTTGCCAGCTCGACAGAC